TAAGATAGTTTAGTAGTTAGATTTTTGATTATTTGATATTTCAGTAATTATTTATATTTGTTATATTGTTTGTAAAGCGCTTTGAACATAGGTAAAAGCGCTATAGAAATAAAGTTATTATTATTATTATTATTATTATTAAATGTCATGAGTGTAAAAGAGATTGTTATTAAATTTAGTGTAGAGTAGTTGATGGGAAAATTAAAACTGGTATAAATATCTAATATGGCTAGTGAAGCCTATATCTAACCATATGTCTGTCAAGCAAAGTAGGGGTGCAGAAGGGGGAAGTCTGTTGAGCAAAGTAGGGGTGGCAAAGGGGTTAAAAGGGATAAGATACACAAGAATTGAAAGGAAGTCCAGTATTTGGTAGCATTAATTGGATTGCTTATGTGGAAGTCCTACAAAAATATGCTCAAAAGTCAAAACCAGGAATGTTTCACGCTAGTCATTAATTGTAATTTTTTGTGTGTGCTTGTTTAGGGAAAAATACAGTATGTATATGTAAAATGACAGTCATGTTGACACTTTTTTATTGCGCAAAAGATACTTACATTACATCCATATTTTATAATTATGTATTTCACACCAGTTGAGTTCATATGATCTTATTTACTAGTTTTTCTTGGTAATATTATTTATGGCAATAGAGGCACTATGTTAGATGTCAGGAACAATACAATAGTTTTACTTGAAAATTCATTTCCCAAGATCAAAGGGATTTATTGTTCTTCCATTCAACCACAGGCAGTCCAACTGTATTATGGGTGCCTGCACATGATGTTGTAAAGCCTCTATAACTTATTCCAATAAAGAGATTTAGTTCAAATCTAATTGGATGCTAGTGTCATCACCGTATTGGCTGTTTGTCAGTAGATTACTGCTGAAAGTAGTCTTGATTAGATTTTGTATAATAGTCTGTTTCCTTCATTAAAAGTAGACGAGAACTCTAAATGCAGTAATTACTAATTTAAAATACAAGAACTGAATGATTTATTTTAGTAAATGAGTCTAATTTGATATTCGTAGTTTTACCCAAAGTCATGAATACTGGACGCGTCTGCATAGGCAGTGTACGGTGTAGAATATGTAATTATCAACTGTCATTCACCTGGGAAGCAAATTTCAGCAAACAGGATAGTAGATGTCATTACCTGTCATTACTTTCAGGTTCCTTTTTTGTTAAAAATGCATACATTTTCATACAAAAAATAAAAAATACAACAACAACAACAACAA